GAGGGAGGGCGGACGCTCAGGGGATCCGGCTAGGGGAAGTCCGCCCGCGGGGGACGCGGGGATCCGGGGGACGCTGAGGGGATGGGGGGACACCGAGGGAGGGGGACGAGGAGATGAGGGGACCTGGGAGGCGACGAAGGGGACGCTGAGGAGAGTCCGCGGGGGGAGATCGGAGCATGCCGAGGGGAGCGGGCCGAGGGGGCCGCCGAGGAGATCCGGCGGAGGGAACCGGCCCAGCGGTCCGCAGCCCCAAGCCCTGCCGCGCGCCCCGCCTCACCCGTGGAAACCGCTGCCGGCCGCCCGCCCCGCACCTGCGGCCTGCGGTTCCCGGTTCCCGACCTCGGCCGGCTGCGGGGTGCACCGTCCGGGGACCCCGCCGCGTCCTCCCGCGTCCTTCCCGACTCGCCCCGGGTGCCCGGCGGGAGCGTGTGGTGCGGACACGCAGTGACCTTGCCCGGTGCGGGGCGGCTCTTCCCTTACTCAAGCGCACCCCAGTCCTCCACTCAGGCGGTTGTACCCCAGCCCTCTCCCCACCGGCCGTGTGCACCCCAGCCCTCTCCCCTCTGGGCCGTGTGCACCCCAGCCCTCTCCCCACCAGCCGTGTGCACCCCAGCCCTCTCCCCTCTGGGCGGTGCGCGCCCCAGCCCTCTGCCCTCGGTGCCCTCCGCACTCACCGAGTCTGTCTCTCTCCGCAGGGCGCCGGGCCGCACCCCCGAGCGAGCATGGCGGGCCCCGAGGACGCGACCCCGCGGCGGGGCTGGCTGGTGCTACGCGCGCTGCTGAGGTTCGCCTTCATGGTGGCCAACAACCTGGTGGCCATCCCGTCCTACGTCTGCTACGTGGTCCTGCTGCAGCCGCTGCGCGTGCTGGACCGCCGGCGCTTCTGGCGCCTCGAGGGGCTCATGTACAAGTGGCTGCTCGGCATGGTGGCCTCCTGGGGCTGGTACGCGGGCTACACAGGTGAGCTGGGGCCGTGGTCACATGTGTGCGTGGTGGGGCCTGCCTGGGGGTCATGTATGTGGACAGTTCGGGACTTGCCTATGGTTCATGTGTATGGACAGTGGATCACGTGTGCAGACAGTGGGGCCTGCCTGTGGTTCATGTGTATGGACAGTGGATCACGTGTGCAGACAGTGGGACCTGGCTATGGTTCATGTGTATGGACAGGGGTCATGTGTGCAGACAGTGGGGCCTGCCTATGGTTCATGTGTATGGACAGTGGGTCATGTGTGCAGACAGCGGGGCCTGCCTGCGGGTCATGGGTGTGGACAGTGCAGGGCCTTAGCCTGGGCTGGGGATGCTTTCCTGCATCCCGGTTGGGAAGAGTAGCCTGAAGGTTTGTGCTACCTGGACTGTGCCAACATGCTGTTTTTAGAAGGAAGGCTTCCTCATTGGATACGGTGGCAAATTCCATCAGTGATAGATTTTGGATGTGGCAGGCATTATTTCTTAAAGCTGGTCTGCATGACCCATCGCAGGACCAAGAATGCCCACAGCACTGCCTGGTCTTCCAAGAGAAGATGTGCTGGGGAGACTTAGTCCCTGTCATGGGATTTAGAAAAGCATCTGAGGCAGAGTTGTGCTAAGAGTTTAAGAAGGCTTTTCTCATTTAATATGAAGTGTACTTAGGCCAAGTCCCCCTAACTTGTGTTTGTTTTGTTTTCTAGAGTCTGTATTTTATCTCAGAAATCTGAGAAAATTACATTTAAAAAACTGAAGTTTAGCCAGGTGTGGTGGCGCATGCCTTTAATACCAGCACTGGGGAGGCAGAGGCAGGCGGATCTCTGTGAGTTCGAGGCCAGCCTGGTCTACATAGCGAATTCCAGGACAGCTGGGGCTAGAGGGAGACCCTGTCTCAAAAAGACCAAAAAAACCCCAAAAAACAAAAAACAGCAACAACAAAAAAACCCTGAAGTTATCTATGTTAGGCTAATGATCTCCTGAGTGTCTTTAAGTAGATTTCTGTTTTTGCTTTTAAACTGCATTTTGGGGAGAAGGAACAATACTCTTCTGAAATGGACTTTTCTAGAACTAAGTAGCGCTTATTTTCTATTCAGAAACCTTATATATGCTGAGAACTTACATTTCTGCCAGAAGGTAACTTTATTACATTCCTTGATTTTCTTTCCTCTGTAAAATGAGAACAGTGCAGGAGAGAGTGCGGTGCCCGGCACTTGGGTGATGTGGAGGCTTTCCTAATGGAGATGGGTGGCAGTCAGCAGGCACCTCTGAGGTGCTGCAGCTGCTGGGCCAGAGGCAGCGGTTTAGAGGAGGGGACTCTTAGGACCAGGTGGCACAGTGGCCCTCCATGTCAAGCCCTGTCCCTTTTGCCTGCACAGGCTGTACCTACAGATTTTCTCCATGCACACCAGAAAAGGACTGATGTACATGGGTTTTATGGAGACTGGCAGACTTGTGTGAGATTGTTCTCTGTGGCCCCAGATAAAGGCTCTTCTGGTATTGCCAGGTATTACCCCATAAGGCGGGGGAGTATCCACGCATTGCTGGCTTGGAATGAGCTGTTGAGAGTCCAGTGCTTTCTTTGGATAGGTGAGCTCCTGTCCCTTTGTAGTACCTGCTGGCTGCAGTCCCCTGGGGGCAGGAAAGGAGCAGCTCCTGTCTGTAGTACCAAACCCTCACCTGGACTGTGGGGCTGTCCTAGAGGGCTTTGCTCATTCACTTAGAGCTTTCCCAAATACAGTGTGATGACTGGTGGCTTTATTCTGTTCACAGTGTACTTAATTTTGCTTGTTTTAGAAACAGCTAGTTTTTTCTCCTTAAACACATGAAATAACTGAAATATCTGTGCTGGTATATGATATTTTTTGATGTGTATCAGCCTGATGGGAAAGTAAAAGAAATTGTCACTGACCTTGAGATTATGAGGAGTACACGCTGCTGCCTGAAGTTGCTCACCTACGGCCAGAGCTTGGCAGTGGTGTACTTTTGGTTGCTTGTTTTGTTCTGTTTTTCCTAAGACCAGGTTTTTCCTTATGTATCCATGCCATCCCAGAACTCACAATGTAGCCCTGGCTGGCTTTGAACTCAGAGCATTCCTCCTGCCTCAGGCTTCCAAGTGCTGGGATTACTGGGATGTCCTACTATGCCTGGTTGCAGTAGACTTTTTTTTTTTGGTCTTTTTGAGACAGGGTCTCCCTGTAGCCCTAGCTGGCCTGGAACTCAATGTGTAGACCAGGCTGGTCTTGAACGCAGAGGTCTGCCTGCCTCTGCCTGCCAGAGTGGATTTTTAAGTGTATTTTCCTGGGGCGTCTTCTTGCTTGCTGACTGTAGTACTATGCGGTTTCTTTTGTCTCCAGCTTGGAAAGTGTTCTCAGCTTGACTCTGTATTTTAGTCTCTTTAAACATTTGTCTTCTTCAGGCTACTGCATGTTGACAGTTTGACCAATTTATTCATATTTTAGTGTGTATGTGTTCATTAATTTTCTCATGAGCAGAACACTCGCTTTTGGAGAGTCTAGTTATGGTCTGAGCATAACAAGTTAAGAGATCAAATAAAGTAGGAACAAATTTTGATGAAAGCCAAGTCAGGTTTAAAGCTGTAAACCTGCAGAGGAGTTGGCTAGCTCCTTCTCCTTACATGTTTCATTTCTTTTCTTTGGATCAGCAAGACAGTGAGTGGGTCTTTTTCCCTTTTCTCTATTTTTTTTTAAAATTTTTTTATTATTTTTATTTTTTCTGTGTATGCATGTATTGCCTGCATATAGATGAGTGCACCCGTGTCATGCAATGCCCGCAGAGGACAGAAGAGGCCGTTGGATCCCCTGGAACTGGAGTTATGGACAGTTGTGAGCTGCCATGTGGGTGCTGGGATTCAAACCCAGGTCTTTTGCAAGAATAGCTAGTGTTCCTAACTGCTGAGCCATCTCTCCAGGCCTGTTTTTGTTTTGTTTTTTTTAAAAAACACACCTGCCTCCACACCCCACCCCTTTCTCTATTTTTAAGATTCACAGTTGGAAAACTTAACATTGTCAAATGTTCTGCTCAACAGATCTAGATCTGCTCAGTAGCCTGGTGGTAGAGCACTTACCTAATATGCACAAATATCTGTGATCCCTGACATCATAAATAAACAAGTGGGTTCCTTCTAGGTGTTCAGGAAGATTTTTAGTTCTGTGAAGAGGCAAATGTAATAAAAATAGTGAGTCCTTCAAACGCAAATCTTCCTTGGGTTTTGGAGATCCTTTTATTCATGCGCCTGCTCTTTGATCACACTAGCAGATCTAGTATGTTCTTGTTTAGAATAAAAATTGCCAAACTTTGTGGAAAACCCACTTAAGAGGGAGGTGAAAATTGAACATTTTTATAGAATATCAGTTTTTCAAATTGTAATATTTCAGTGTAAGACAAGTTGATTACTCAGCCAAAGACTTGATGACGATGAGCCACTCTACCCTGCCCCATATGATAGCCACTAGCTACATGCGACTGCTTAAGTTTAAATGAATTAAAACATTAGGAAGTTGAAATTCCGTTTGGTCACACTTCAGCTCTCAGTACTAGGTAGTTTAGGGGCCGCTGCGCTGGCTAGTGCAGAGATAAAACACTTCTGTCCATACTGAGACATTGCATATTGGAGAAAAGGTTTATTCTGCTCAGATGTTTTGAAGGCAATCCCAAGCAGATAGTAACTTAACCAGTGATCTGCCTCATGCATTATTTGCACCTGGAGTAAATAAGCCCACCCTCCCCCTCCCAGTTTAATGAAGACTGGTGGATTTCAGAGAGATTGTATACAAAACGTGCTTACTTAAAGTAGTTTATTTTGATTTTGGTCACTTATTTTGATAAAGTCATTGTTTAACGTTATATTTAAAGTCTCAGTACCTTAAACAGTTTAAAGCTATTCATTGTAAGTGGAAGCTCCGGAATTTCTATATGGTATTGAGAATCTTTGAGCCAGAGTCTGGCTGGCAGGGGTTTGGGGTCCCAGGGGACTTGCCGCAAAGCCAGTTTTGCTTTGCAAATTCTGTTTTCCTTAGATTGGGTATTTATTTGGACTGGCTTTAGGGAAGGCTGATGCAGATTAGGCTTAGCTTCCTCCTGCTCTGCAGCCACAATGTCTGTGTGTTCATCCTCGTGGGTTATCTGCTATTTGGTAGAATTCTACTTTTGTTTTGGGGATAAAGTTTTGTTATATTAGAAAAATTAATGTTTAGGTATTATGTCTGACTTTGAAATTCTAGAGAAAGTTTTTAAAAATATACCTTCTAGAGCAATATTTTTCAACCTTTGAGTCATATAACCAATTTAGTATATCGGGATGAACATTCTCAGAAAGTAAAATTGAATAGAATTAAGTAGAAAAAGATCAGAAGTACGTATCTGTGTCGAATGGTGCTGCAGATAGATTGTGTGTGTGTGTGTGCGCGCGCGCGCGCGTGTGTTTACTGTGAATGCAGGTAACATTTGAAAGGCATTATGCTAATGGGAAGAACATTATCACTGAGTCAGTGATATGATCCAGCTTTAAAATCTCTGCTCACTAGAGGGGTAAGATACTTACCTACATCCTGCCCACAGGATTTTCTTTATAATCTAGAGCCTAATTTGTTGCCTGATACTCACAGGGTGCTTGGTAAGAGTATTTGTTTGTTTATTTGAGTATCCCAGATTTGCCCACAACTCACTGTGTAGCTGAGGCTGGTCTCCAACTCCTGATCCTTCTGCCTCCAGCTCCCAAATGCTCAGATTATGGGTGTGTGCCACCCCATAGGGACTGTTTTTTGTTGGATATTGAGCCAAGGGCCACACACATGCAAGGCCAAGCCTTCTAATCTTGAGTTACACCCCCCAGCATAGGTTAATCTCTTTCTTGAGTAATCTCCTTTCTTTCCTGAAAGAAAAGTAGATTCTTTCATGCCTTCCTGAAAGGTCTGCTATCATGATAGTTGCAGGCTATAAAATATGAACCCTGAACCAGATCATATGAAATAGGTATT